CCAACGTGCCCAAACGGCCTGGCAGGGCAAGGTAGAAGTTGCAGAACTACCGGCAACGGGTGCGTTGAAGTTTTACGGCGCTGACATTCTATGCAGGAGCGAACGAATTTCTGCACGTAGCGGTACATGCCGCGCCAAAAGCACCGTTGCCGAATTCGCTGGTAAGTCTTCGATACCCCGGAGTGCGCGCATTGCGGATGAGAATGAAAGAATTCGCAGATGTCAGAGCGCAGACTGCGGGGTATGACTAGTAGCCACTGGCTGCCGTCACCGCTGTAATTGCGTCGGTGGAGGAGGTCGTCGCGAACGGCGAAATGGTGGGCTTGACGACGCAACGCGCGAGTGGATGGAGTGGATGGATCAGTCAACAAGTCTATCAGTGAGGCAATCCATTAATCCTTGCGCTGTTCAGTAGCAACGGCATGAATGCTAATGGAAGAAACGGCAAGGTGAGACGCTGAGTCGTGGGCATTGTCGTCAGGCAAGGGAGAGCGCGACAGGGCGTCGGCGTCAGCATGTTGCCTTCCGTTGCGGTACAGCACGCGGATGTCGTAGTCTTGCAGGCGAAGTGCCCACCGGGCGAGACGGCCTGAGGGATCTTTCAATGAGGACAACCAGCATAGTGCGTGATGGTCGGTGACTACATCAAATGGGCGACCATATAAATATGGTCGGAACTTGGTAAGGGCCCACACGATTGCCAGACATTCTTTCTCAGTGACGGTGTAATTAGTCTCGGCTTTTGTAAGCGTACGGCTTGCATATGCCACGACATATTCCGGGAACCCTGGCTTGCGCTGCGCAAGGACAGCGCCGAGACCAACACCACTGGCGTCCGTGTGTACCTCTGTAGGGGCAGTAGGGTCGTAGTGGCGGAGTATGGGAGGCGACGTCAGTAAACGACGGAGCGTTGTGAATGCGTCGTCACACTGTGATGACCACGAATGGAGAGGCCCGTTACTACCGAGGAGTTTTGTCAGCGGCAATGCGATAGACGCGAAGTTTCGGATGAAGCGCCGAAAGTAGGAACACAGTCCTAAGAAACTGCGCAGTTCCTTGTGGATGTCGGTTTGGGGTACTCGGTCACGACCCGAAGCTTGGCTGGATCGGGGAGAATTTCGTCCTTGGACACGACGTAGCCGAGTATTGTCAACTGCCGAGCTGCAAATCGGCACTTCTTCAGGTTCAGTTGCAGACTGGCGTCACTCAGACGCGTTAAAACATGCCGCAGGCGTTGAAGGTGCGTTGAGAAGTCCGGAGCGAAAACGACGACGTCATCGAGGTAGCACAGGCACGTGTGCCATTTCAGGTCACGCAGGACGGTATCCATCATGCGCTCAAAGGTGGCAGGCGCATTGCACAGCCCAAACGGCATGACGTTGAATTCGTACAAGCCGTCGGGAGTGACGAAAGCGGTCTTCGGTCGAGCGTCCTCAGCCATAGGTACTTGCCAGTACCCTGAGCGCAAATCTAGAGATGAAAAAAATTCGGCTCCTTGCAGGCTGTCAATCGCGTCATCCACACGCGGTAGTGGGTACACGTCCTTACGAGTGATCTTGTTGAGACGTCGGTAGTCCACACAGAACCGCACAGAACCGTCCTTCTTCGCGACGAGAACGACAGGAGATGCCCAGGGGCTGTTAGAGGGTCGAATAACATCGCGGCGTAGCATGTCGTCCACTTGCTCGTTGATTACACGGCGTTCTGTGGGAGATACGCGATATGGACGTTGCCGTAGTGGTGGTTGTGCGTCTGTGTCAATGCGATGCGTAACAGTGGATGTGCGGCCGAGAGAAGGTTGAGAGACATCGAAAGAAGAGCGGAATTCTTCCAACAAGGCCAGAAGCTGGGAGCGCTGGACCGGCGTAAGGTTGTCGGCAATGGAAGGACCAAATACATCAGCGGATGATGAAACAGATGTAGAAACAGCACTAAGCGTATTGAAACTTCGGCAGTGCGTGTCATCAGGTTGATCCATGACTTGTGCGTCTTCTATGGATTCCACGCTGCCGAGACATTCCCCTCGCACCAACGTAACACTGTACGGGGATGAGTTCAGAACAAAAATAGTGGTGCTGCCGTGAGTTACTTGCACGGTCGCGAAAGGAACCAGCAAACTTTTTCTGGTGAAAACACGATGAAATGGCGAGAGGAGTGCAGTGGTGTCTGAAAGACTTGCACAGTACACCGACACCACCGCGGACGAGTTTGCAGGCACTTGCGTGTCGTCCCTCACGAGTAATTTGCTTGCAGTAGATGGACTGTCGGCCGGCGTTAAAGAAGAGAATGGTGTTAGCTCTATTTCTGCTGGTGCGCAATGAATGACGGCGTCGTGGCGGGAGAGAAAATCCCATCCTAGGATGACGTCGTGAGATCATGAAGGAATTATGATGAATTCAACGGCATACATCACGTCCTGAATCCTGAGGCGGGCTGTACACATCGCTGTAGGGTGAATGCTTTGGGCGCTGGCTGTACGGAGAAAGAGCCCGGAAAGTGGCGTGGTCACTTTGCGTAGTAATCGGCTAAGCTTTGCGTCCATCACGGATACGGCGGCTCCAGTATCTACAAGGGCAGATGCACGAACACCACCCACAAGCACGTCTATCACGTTCGATGGTCTTTCCTGAGGGCTTCCGCAGTTCGACAGCGTCGCAGCGCTTGCCTCGTGGACTGCGACGACTAGTTTTCCTGGTAACCCTCTAGTGGACGTGGCCGCATCGGCGACAGTGAGCGACGTCGCGGAGAATGTGAGCGGCGGGTAGATGGAGCGGGGCGGGACGACGGTGACGTAGGTGGCGGTTGGTCATAAAAGCGGCTCGATTGGCTGGGAAAATTGGAGACGACTTGCGGTCGCTGCACACGATTGCAGTAGCGTGCTACGTGCCCGACGCAACCACAATCAAAGCAGATGGGGCGATTGTCCGCAGTGCGCCATCGGTTCGCGGGTCCCATCCATGTCGAAGAACGCGATGGGCGAGCCGACTGCTGATATAACTGCATAGTGGGCGGCACACGGGGCACGTGGATGACGTCGGTATATGTAGGCGGCACCGTTTGTCCGAAGGCCTGGGGTCTGGCGATGGTTTTGGTGTAACCAAGAGGGCCAGTCACAGGAATCGGTGGGGGTGGCCTGGCGACAACTTGGCGTAACTGAGTGGTGTAGATACTGGAGGCGCCTGGTGATATTCTGGAACGACCTCCGCGATTTCCTGCTAAATGGCTCAACGGAGGGGAGGCAGAAGTGTGCTTGACGACTGTTCAGCACGTTGCGGGGAAGCAAAGGCCAGTAAAGAGACCTGGCGGGCAACTTATTCACGCACGAATGACTTGATTTCAGCAAGCAAGGCGGTGTGGTCCGGAAGTGTTGACAAGGCCGAGAGACCAGCGTCACGTGAGGGTGGTCGACGGGTCATCGAGCGCTGCCGTCGCAGCTCCTCGTAACTTTGGCAAAGTGTAATGATCTCTGCCACAGTGCGAGGGTTCTTGGCCAGGAGCGTGGTGAAGGCATCGTCGGCGATGCCTTTTAAAACATGGGTAATTCTGTCGGCCTCTGACATGCTCGCGTCCACTTTCTTGCACAAGTCAAGGATGTCCTCTATGTAGCTTGTGAAGGACTCACCGGTCTGCTGTGCTGGTTCACGTAACCGCTGTTCGGCTTGGAGCTTACGAACGGCAGGACGGCCGTTCTTATGCTTCTTAAACTTCTTATGCTATTTATGTTTAAATTTTGTGTGTACAATTGCAGGTTGCTTGAAACCAATGTATTGAATATATATTGTTTGTCAGTGCTGATGTCTAAGCTTTGCACTGTCACGGACTGCGGAGGGACAAGGGCCTTTGTCAGGCTGTTCGCCTTTAGCCCTTTGCCCCTGCAGTGAGCTCTGTATCCGGCTTACTGTAAAGAAAGTACTACTACTACTACTACTACTACTCCATATCGCAAGAGTGGTTTGTATCAAAAGATTCCGGCCCGCTATCTGGGTCTCTTCGTCGTTTTTCGCACCTTAGCGATGTTACGTACGTGATATCACGCCTCACATCTTCTGGCCATTGCTCCACGAAAATGACGTCATACATGTCGCCTGGTTGAAGCCATTCCACGCGCGACACTGACTAGCATGCCCAGTTGGCATCGTCTGCAACGGGGGAACTGATACGGTACTTTCGTTAAAGTGGGGTACAGCAAAAAGAAGTGTATGTGTTCTGTGCCAGGCCTGACTTCTGCAACCATCTATCATCCCGCCTGTACAACAAACATCCCTCACCCGTACCAATTTATTTCACAGCTTTCCGAATAAATTTTCAGTTGGTAGTAAGCGCTTGTCAATGTCTATGCTGTCCACGTATACATAGGGCTCTCCTATCTTAAACTTGCAAGGAAATGTGTGCCAATTGTTCACGCAGTGGCTGACAACGATGAAGAATTATGCCTGGAGTTGGTATGCGCTAAGTTACTAGGTAAACAAAAACACGCTCTTGTAATGAGTTAGGGCATCGCGGCGACACACTTGTTACGCTATCCGTAACACGAAAAAACGAGCCCTTAAGTATGCACTTCTTTTCTATATATATATATATATATATATATATATATATATATATATATATATATATATATATATATATATATATCGGTATGTGAGTGTGTGTGTGATGACAAACACATTGGAAAAAGTGCTTGAAAAACGGTCGACGCCAAATCAAGTTTTTGAGAAGGGTACTCCTTGTTCATATACATATACATATAATGAAGAAGCTTTTTCAATGGGCAAAACGTACCTTGGAAGAGAACAGAGACACAGCTTCGCGATTGTCTCAATTTTTTTCCCAATGGTATCGGTCAGTATTTTTCAATGGTTCCGATTGGTCCACCAGTTGAAACCGTTGGAAAATAAAATAAGACAGCCACTAAGTTGTGTCACTTCCATGTATATATTGTAACAATTATGCATGAAATTACTTTTCGGATAGTTATTGACGACCACATGTTGCCACAGATGGGAGCGGCTGCCGGGCGTCCGTGCACAGGCCGAAGCGCTTCCTTTCGCAAACGATCTGGCTCAGCCTCCCCGGCCGCAAGGGCCACTCGGACGTGTCCAGCGGGTCGCCCCACTCGGTGACCGCCCCGAAGCAAGCCGAAGCCATCGCCGAAGGTTCCGAGGAGACTGCGCTCGCCGACCCCTGTGGAGCATCAGTAGCCGTGAAGCACGTGTAGGCTGTGCTGACTTGCGTCAGTGCAATTTAGTGCTCGCCCTGAAGCTACAACAGGAAGTCATTCAACATTCTTGGTGCCACAGTCATTCACTAACCTTTGGGGCACATCTTATTTCGTCATGAAATACCAGTACATGATAGGCAAATGCATTTCAAAAATGTATTGTACATTTTTCGTTCTCTAATCATCCGAGGAAGCGGTGTGTTTCCTATCGTGTTTTCCTATCGCCATCGTGAGGTAAACTGTTTTCCTTGAGCGTAGTTTTCCCACCAATGTAGACGATTGTGGATTTTACGAGCTTTAGACAAGGACACTAGCATTATGCTGTACTAAACGAAAAAAAAGTGAGCATGAGCATGCTCTAAAAGTATTAGAATAATGTCCAAGTTCGGTCTAGGTAAGTCTCAAAGCGTCGGGCGAAAAGTTGTTTATAACCAATTGTCAGCTACTTCAATCAGGGGAGCCCCGCCGCGGTGGTCTAGTGGCTAAGGTACTCGGCTGCTGACCCGCAGGGCGCGGGTTCGAATTCCGGCTGCGGCGGCTGCATTTCCGATGGAGGCGGAAATGTTGTAGGCCCGTGTGCTCAGATTTGGGTGCACGTTAAAGAACCCCAGGTGGTCTAAATTTCCGGAGCCCTCCACTACGGCGTCTCTCATATTCATATAGTGGTTTTGGGACGTTAAACTCCACATATCAATCAAATCAATCAGGGGAGTGATGGGGTCAGCGACTTAAGCACATACGCAAATTTCGAAACACCAAATTTTCTCGAAGGGTGCAGAAATCTAGCTGTTCACAAACGTTATTTATTTCCCAAGCAATTTTATACCCCTGTCACAAGGGCACTTGCGAACGCCGTTTAATGCCCTCGTCCTTACGACAAGAGAAATGAGGTCCGCATCAAAGAGCTATCCTTATGCAACCGAAGATAACAGAACATTTCGCAAAGGACGTTCGACGACCTCCCTTTGCAGCGGAACGAGGTACTCTCGTTCCTAGTATCTGCAGGTAAGGAAACATTTCGGGTACCAAATTGCCACAGTGAGTACAATAATATGTTTTGGCAGTAATAAACGTTATGTTGTTGTAGCACTCATTCATAAAGTCTTTGTTTCCATACATACATGCTCGCCTGAGTGCAGCTACTCTCCACAGCAGTGCCCTCCAGACCATGCCTCGCGAGTCGGGCCGGGCACCGCTAATAAAACAATAGTTTGTCCGTGCGTGCTGTTGTTGTCCTCGCCGTGGTTGCGTTTGCCCGTGATAGGAATGACAGGCAGCGCTGCGTCATCGTCAGTTGCTTCGATGGCTGCAGGAATGGTTATGGGACCCGACATAATTCAAGAAAAACTTGGAGTGCGCTCCCGATAAAAGAAAACACGCGACCTCTCGTACACATTGTAGCCCGTGTCTTATCGGGTCGCGCTGCGCTGCCCTCTCCGCTCGACCGCTCGCTCGTAAACCCGCCCAGCTAAAACTCTCTAAATAACAACTATTCTTCGAGCACGGCGCAATTGTAAACAAGCATAGCGTTGGGCCCAAGGTGGCCAGCGTCGCTACAAACATCGTTACGTTTAGCGAATACGTTCTCATTTGACATAATTTTATTGTTGTGTTCGCTTCAGATCTACTAAATATTGTGGATTCGTAAAAAATGACATTACAAAAATGAAAGAAATAGCGACTGGAGACGTAATAAAGATAGTTCTCCGAAAATCAAACATCGTCAGCTGAGCCCTCTCGCGGCAACTATTATAACCTTGTCAATGCAGAGTGACACTCCCACAACTCCATCTGTGTCAAACTCACTGTGGGAGATTTAGGTTGACAGAGTTTAACAGAGTTCGTTGGGGGCCATGGGCAGGGGTATTATTTAGGCACACTTGGCAAAGAATTTATTACAATGTTTAGTCACTTGAAACTCCGTTATGATAGCAACCTTAAAAGAAAGACGCACGCCATTATTATTTAGTTCAGTGTGTAAAAAGGCACAATCGTAAATTTCGTAAACTCGTAAACACAGGGCCACACTCAGGAATTTTTCAGCGGGTGGTGTTTGTGTTGTCATGAGAAAGTAGTGGGCCATGCAAAGCTCGGCAGCCACATCGTCAGCGCTAAGCACAAGAGGCGCGGGTAGGAGGATGCCGCTCTTCCCACTGGCTAGGCCTACATTCCTGTGTTGTCTGAGATAAGATTTCTACTCATCAGGCTGCCACGTTTTTATTCAAGTTTGTAGAACGGCTAAACTTGATTGTTGGTCCTTGTCAAAGCATATAAGTAGTTTAGCATCAACCGAACAGGTAAAACATGAGAAATTTTTGAGGGGTGTCAAAACCCCTTGAACTGTCCTGTGCGACACCACACCCCCTCAAGTGATTTGCTGTTTCGCACTTGCGTGCATTCTGTGAATTATTGTAAAGATAATAATTGTGTAGAGGGAGTTTAATGAAGGAACTGAGCAAGTGGGTGGCAACTCAAAAGGAACGCAGGTGGACCCAGATGACGATGCTCGGTCGCCGCTCTCGTGTTTTTTTCTTGTGTTGATGATAGTTGAGCCGATGGTATCAATGTCTTTCTTCTTCACTATGATTACCCCCGGCAAAAAAGATAAAGCCATCCTGGCAATCTAACACGTGGGGACAAGAGGGTCGAAGTAGGAGTTGAGACGGTTTACGTGAACGATATCACGTCCACGCCGACGACGGTCGCTGGGGGGTGTGAGGTGTTCAATGGCGTAGTTAACAGGTGAGGTACGCTCGACCACGCGGTAGGGACCATGATAATTAGAGAGTAGTTTGGGTGATACACCTGGCGCGCAGGGTGGTAGATGCAGCCATACAAGTGCTCCACGAACGAACCTTGGTGCAGAACGAAGGTCGTCGTCACGGGTCTCCTTCTGGCGCTGTTGGTCGGCTTTAGTAAGCCGCTTGGCCAGCTTGCGACACAATTTTGCGTAACGAGCAGCTTCCGAGAGAGGCGTGCATTCGGAGGGATCTGGCGAGTATGGCAGTAAAGTGTTGATGGTGTGCGAATCTGGCAGTAAATTGTCGATGGTGTGCGATGGTTGGTGACCGTACAGAAGAAAAAATGGGGAAAACCCCGTAGTGACTTCCACAGTGGTGTTATACGCGTATGTCACAAACGGAAGAACCTGGTCTCAGTTTTTTTTATCAGAAGCGACATGCGTCGCGAGCATGTCCCCCAGAGTGCGATTAAGCCACTCAGTCAAAGCATTCGTCTGCGGGTGGTAGGCTGTACTCTTCGGTGTGCAATATGGCACTCTTAAAGAAGTGTCTGGTTACATCGGAGAGGAAAACACGCCCTCGGTCCTTGAGGAGTTCTCGAGGAGGACCATGACGAAGCAAAAAACGATTGAGTAGGAAAGTGGCGACGTCTTGTGCTGCAGCTGTGGGGAGAGCAGCAGTTTCAGCGTACCGTGTAAGATGATCCGCAGCTACGATAACCCGTCGGTTGCCTGCCGTTGTCAATGGTAGTGGTCCGTGGAGGTCAATTCCTACACGGTTGAATGGGTGGTCTGGGCATGGAAGTGGCTGCAATGAACCGGTTGCAGGATGTGGCGGGTTCTTCCGCCGCTGACATTCGTGGCAGCCACGAATGAACTGGCGGACCAATGTATACATTTCACGCCATTAATACCTTTTTCGTAGGCACTCGTAGGTCTCGAAAACACCGGCATGAGCACATTGTGGGTCGGAATGAAACGACGCGCAGATAGTAGAGCGCAGCGTTCGGGAAATGACCAGTAGCCATTTCCTACCATCTGTTGAATAGTTGCACCTGTACGAAAGGCCAACCCGAATACTGAAATGCGGAGCCTGGCGGCGCAGGGTTCGAGTGGCTGGAAGAGTCGGTGCCTCGGATAACACGCCAAGAAGCGAAGCGATTCATGGGTCATTGCGTTGTGATGAGAGATGGTATCCTCGTTAAGAGCTGACAACGTGTTGTCTAAGGAAACGTGCTATGTCCAGGGATAGGGAAGATCGCGACAGTGCATCAGCATCAGTATGCTTATGGCCGGAACGATATACAACGCGGATGTCATATTCTTGAAGCCGAAGAGCACAATGAGCAAGACGACCCGATGGATCCTGAGTGAAGACAACCAGCATAATTTGTGGTGGTCCGTTACTACATCGAAAGTAGAGCCACAAAGGTATGGGCGGAACTTTACAAGCACCCAAACGATCGTCAAGCATTCCTTCTCGGTGACGCTGTAGTTTAATTCACCCTTTGTGAGAGTTCTGCGGGCATAAGCGACGACATACTCGGCGAATCCAGGCTTCTGTTGCACGAAAACTGCATCGAGGCCGACACCACTGGCGTTAGTGTGGACCTCAGTGGCCGCCATAGAATCGTAGCGATGCAGTATTGGTGGTGAAGAGAGGAGACAACGAAGGGTACGGAAGGCTTGGTCACACTCAGATGACCATGACGAAATATCAGTGGTGCTGCCTTGAAGTTGAGTCAAAGGCGCTATAATAGAGGCGAAGTTGCGCACGAACTGGTGAAAGTAGGAGAATAACCCCACAAAGCTCTGTAAATGCTTCATAGTCGTTGCTTTGGGAAGTCAGCGACAGCACGTAATTTGGCCGGGTCTGGAAGTATACCATCCTTTGATACGACACACCCGAGAATCGTAAGTTACCGAGCAGTGAAGTGAAACTTCTGGAGGTTGAGTTGGAGCTGAGTATTTTTTAGGCACGTCAGGACGTGTTTCAGGCACTTGAGATTTGTTGCAAAGTCTGGCGCAAAGACGACACTATCGTCGAGATAGCAGATACATTTTTGCCACTTCGAACCCCGAAGAACCGGATCCATCATTCACTCGAAGGTGGCAGGCGCATTGCAGAGGCCGAAGGGCATGAGATTAAACTCATATCGACCGTCGGGTGTCACGACGGCTGTTTTAGGGGCGAAGCTCCTTAGAGCGGCACCCGTTAGTCCCTCGTCGTAGTCGTAGTGCGTAACCAGTCTTACGCTTTGACCTGCAAAGTGGTGCCGGTGGGAGATTTCTCCTGTGCGTTGTTGAACAATTACAAATTCTCAGCGTGCGCGTTAACTAAAAGCCGAATTCTTCTGTTTCTCATTCCCCGTTAGCAGCAATTCGCATGTACATTGAGCCCTATCTGACAAGGAAGGGCTGCTAGGTTATACTCGCTGGGGGTAACCACCTTTGTTTTAGAAAGGTTTAGCGAGCGTTGGGCCACATTTTCATGAATACAGTGAACTAGTATATAACAAGAACTCGAGGTGGTTAAAGGTAGGAAGTAGACAAGAAACGCAAGCCATAAGAAAGTGTGCGTGTGCCACCTTCGTTTAGTCCTTGGAATGTCCACTGGATGGCAGTGTTTTTATATGCGGAATATATAATGAAAAGATTAGAGGTGGTGGTACTTGGAGTGTTGACTTGATGGACGA